CCACCAGCGGGAGCGCACCGGGATGGGCGACAGAACTGCTCCAGGGGGGTGTGAACATTCGTTTTGCGTTTTGCCTGCTGAGCACTGTAAGTACACTTGAATGAAGTTTGCAGGTGGCGTTGAAGGGAGTGGTTTTGTGATCACAGAGACGTTTTTAATTAACACTGGTGTATCTAGAGGAAAATAAAAACAGTGAGCAACTGGGAAAGTGTGGAGGCCTTGGAACAGTAGTAGGTGGCAAACTAGAAATGAGTTTGCAATGGGATACAACGACAATAAAAGGTTAGTGCTCTATTTGGGTAGTATAGGCACGTGGATGCCACTTCGTGGAGAATTTAGGGAGTATACCCTCGCAACGTACTGGTTATGTGATAAGGTTGCATTTGGAATATGTTCAGATCCGTGCTACGTTTACCAAAATCTGACTAGAGTTCAGAGGGACTAATAAAAACTCCTAGCGCTGAAGGAAGATACTGACTTATTCTAAGTAAAATATACAAAGCTGAGCTAATGAAGATGATGTGGCATAAATACTTGAGGACTGCTGTACAAAGAAAGAATGTAGTTATACACTGTAATTCTTTAAGCTGATCCATTATTGGAGCTTTTTTAGTGTTCTAGGTGGGCACTGACACCCGGAATCTTGCCACTGAGTCAGTGTGTTACTGGGGGTTTGATGAATATGGTCTGCCGTTGGCTTATTCAGTACATAAGTACAAAGAGAAGCAGAATTTAGATTTATGGAAAGAACTTCCTTCTGGCAAACAAAGGAAGTCTGAATGTCTTTTGTGTTGTCAAAAACTGTGCTAGAAAGACAAGTCAACCAAGGAAACGTGTTATGGAGATAATCATTGCCATGTTATTCACAGGGAGATGGTTTGCAGTGTGTACTTTCCGCTTATATTGGATCTAGATCTTAAGCCTAAGGTACTGATTATTTAGCAGCTTTTATGATTACTGGACTGTGGGGCTACTTATAAGTAAGGATTGCATGTTGAGACCTCAGGTGCTTTCGCTCTTTGCAGTTTTACTGACTTCATTAGTTTTAAGTCAGCGAAAAGAACATTTTCTTCCTTGCACTGATTAGTAGGTTAGGGTTGTCAATAATTACATTTTTTATTATAACAGAAGTCTTAACATTTCAGATTTTTGTGCTGTAGTTTTTATGCCATTGTGCTATAAGAGATTGATATGCTTCGTGTCATGAAGCTAGTGGCCTGAAAAGGGCTCTCCAGATACTGTGCATGGAGGAAAGCAAAAGCAGTTTATGTTCTGAGGAGTAGTTCCAGAATTAAGCTGTTTTTCACTAGTTTTGTCAGTTGAAATTTGTATTGGTTCTATCCTGCATTACTTCTTTTTTTTTTTCTTATATATAATTTCTATTGCTCACTAACATTATATAGGTAATTGCCAATAAGCTTACTGGCAACATTAAGCATGAAGAAGAAATTAGGCATTACTCATGGACGTCCTCTAATTTTGGGAAACAAGCTTCTCTTCTCACAGTTGACACTATCATCGTTCTGCCAATGGTTGTGTCAATATATATAAAAATTTAGAAGTCTTAAAGACAAGAATTGTAGGACTGTTGGTTTACATAGTCAGATCTTGGAACTGCAGGTGGCAGTTCAGTGCAGAACCAAGGTGTACGAGTTCAGGTACAGCGTACATGTAGTCATATTGCTTATGGAACACAGCCTGTGTTTCTCAAAGCTTTGTGGGTTGGATACATTTTCTTCTGGATTAAAAATGGCAGAAAATTGAGAAAGACAGGTCTTCTGAGCTGCTTCAAGCCTGTCCAATGTAGTGAGGCAGCAGCCTCGTGAATGAACCTGACACATAGCCCAGCCTGCTCCTCAGCTCCTTGGGATTGTTCACATCTGCCAGGCTCTTGAAATTGGCTTTCTGAAGATGGATGGACAAAACACACAGGCTGCTGCTTTGGTGGTTTCTCATGTTTTGCTGAGGATTCCTTCTGGTAATCACTGGACTGTACTGATTCATTTAACTAGTGCTGCATGACAGCGAGGAAAGACCTAAAGTGGTAAGTCAGCAGTCTCAGGGATCCCTGTGCCAGGCTCCATCGCATGGTATGGACTTACTCAAAATCTGATTTTTAGAGGAAGGGATTGTTTGTGCTACGGACAGGTGTGGTTGAAACTACAGTTGAGAGCCTGATTCTGCCAGAAATGGGGCCATGATGCAAGGGCTTTTCAAAGTAAACCTAAGCAGGCGTATGTTTGCTCCTTGGCTGAAGGGCCTTGACATCCCTTGTTACTTTGGGTCCGTGTTTGATAGAGTCCCTGTTGATGAATCTGGCGTAATGGTCTTGGCGCGACTCTCTGCTCCCCTCTGCCCGCTGGCCTTGTTACTGTGAAGCTGCAGGATGTTGGAATAAGAATCCCGTCCCATTATTATTTGTATTAGAGTAGTGACTGGAGGTCCCATTGTGCCAAACACTGTGTAAACATGCATTAAGTGACTGTTCCTCTCCCAGCAAGGTACAACTGTGAAGGGATCAGGATACGAGCCTACATTTTGTATAGTATGGCTATAGACACAGTCTTAGGTGTGAAATCGTTGGGGACTTACGCCAACTGGCCATCTGCTGTCACTGTAAAAATGTGTGGTTTTACAAGATTCGGTTAAAACTCTCTCGTTTCCTTTAAGACACTTCTAACTCCCTATCTGCGCAATAAACACATGCAGCCAGATGAAGGAACATTATTGCAAGATCCAAGGGGGAGATACGAGAGTGTGAGCTGTAAGGAATAATTCTTGATATTAGAAAAAAAGACACAACAGCATTAAAAACTCTGTGAGAAGGGCTGACAATAACTCTACATAAACGTAGGAGAGTGAAAAATAATATCTAACATTGTTAATTAAAATCACATTTAAAAGTTTTTTGGGTAACTCGCGTATTGAGTGGAGGGGGTTTTTAGCTTAGCATGGCAACCTAGCAGTGAGCAACCTTTTGAATTTTATTATCGGTGCTGACATTCCAGAATGTTGCAGCATTAGAAGAGTTTGCTGGGGGGTCCAAAAATTTGAGAATTTCTATAGATTTGCCTTGATTTGCTTAAGTTTTTTGCCTTTAAAGTGGGTATTAAAGGAGTTTAGATATGCCTTAGAAGTGGATAGTAGTTTATTAGGATATTGTATGGTTTATTACTTTTCCAGCTACGTTTGATGTCAAAATAGCATTCTTTTTCTTCACGATTAGTTGAACAAGAGGTTGCGTATCAGAGTTAGTTTAGTTTGTACAGGAGTTGTTGTTACCAGCTAATGCAAGGTGAAGGGAATCGTTGGCCCATTTTAGCTTGGGCCTTAGATTTTGCTGATATAAAAGTATAGAACTGCCTTTCGACTGATACTAGTAACTTCTAGATGTGGGAACCTGCTCATCTGTTTAGCAGAGATACTGGGAGGCAGCTGCATAGGCATAACTGATTTGAGAGACTTGTAGACCTGCTTGTTGGTACTGGTAAGTGAAGAAACGTAATTCAGCAATGCGATAAGGCAGACAGGCTGTGATCTAAAGTAGGGGTTGGGTTCTTAATCGTTCTTGGAACAATACTGCAAATGCACTTACTGATTTCTTTTCAGAAGATGCCTAGGGAAAAGTTGAGAATGAGTTGAAGGATGGAAAATAATGTTATCCCACTTCATGCTATTTTATCAGCGTGATACCGTTTCGTAGAGGAACTGTGCTTTCTAGGGAATTTACTTTGTAGAATTCTTTAATGTACAGAGCAATGATTAAGACAGAAATTAAACGTTATTTCTTAGCAAGTTATTGGTCTCTACTTGATTACAATTCAAATCTAAGTTAAACTAATTCTGAAGCTTGTTGAAAAGTCTGTAGGAAAAAGTAAATTTTTATATTTATGGAAATTGATAATAGCCTTTTGTATATTCAGTTTGTTTTAACTACTTCTGGTTTATGTTGCTGAACTTTTTAATGATCCGTTATCTCTTTCTCTAGTGGTATGTCTGCAACACAGAACAGTTGTCTGAATCCCTTCAGCCTGTTTTTGTCCAGAGTTACCTTGACCAAGGAACACAGATCTTCTTAAACAACAGCATTGAGAAATCAGGCTGGCTGTTTATCCAGCTCTATCACTCTTTTGTGTCCTCAATTTTTAGCCTCTTTATGTCTAGAACATCTATCAATGGGTAAGTGAAAAGTCAGTTTTGGGTAAACTAAATACAGTTTGGATTTAGAGTTTTCAAGTGTTCAGCCCTACCTCTGGATCTTTTTAGTTTCCTTATTTTTAATTTCCCTTTGCCAGTCTAACAGACCTGAAATGCCCTACTGTGCTCTTCATGCCCAACTCTCTTAATTAAAGAACACCATTTCCAGTATGGGGGAACAGAGGAGGTAATTACAATTAATAAGAGACAGTCAGAGGGCTCTAATTTTATTTTATAACAATTACTTGTATTCATTTCCTTATAAATAAGAGACATTGTCTAACAGAGAGAGAATGCTGTCCCTCTTCCCTCTGCTTTCTTGTCCTGCGCCCTTACCCTTTACCTCCTTAGCCATCTCTGTATGGGTTATTGTTGTGATTTTCCATGCTGAAGGTGGCTGTATGCAATCATTTCTGTATGGCATCTAAAACTCTTTCTGCAAGAGAGTGTGTGCACGCCCACTGGGAACTTAGGCAGATTTCTACACAGTGCAGGAGTTGGCCAGGTGTTGTGTCTAGTAGCACTATTATGGAACAGAATTCTGGCCTTTCTCTTGCTCTTTAAAATTTAATTTCACCTTGATTTGTGTGTAAGCTGTACTGGAACAGGTAACTTCTGATGTAGCATGTTTGACTGATGAGAAATCAAGAAGGCTGGAAAAGAGGAATTTTTTTTAACCAATATTCCCCTAGTCTTACTGCACCAGTCTCTTCTGTTCCTGCAGGGAAGTTTACCCGCTCTTGGGTGCTTTAGTATTTTTTCCAAAAAGACTGGGGCTTTTTTTTTTTTCTCACATCACCCGATTTAGACATATGTTTAAGAGCTTATCAGTTTTGACCTTAGGAAGAATGCATTTTGTTGTATTTACCCGATTTCTCCACCATCCTCGCATCTGAACCTACTACATACTTCTGCACAGTCTGATATGAAGACAGTAGCTGTCTACTAAGGCTAGAAAAATCTTTTTCCTTATTTTCTAACCAGATGAATTTATGAGCTTCCCTGTGGTGTTCTTAGTTACTTGTAGCTTTATATAAAGGTTCCTTTGGTCTTCTCTTCTTCCTTTCTCTTCCATTTTTTCTTCAAAGGCTCTCCAGTGCTTTGAATAACACCTCACAGTGCTGTTAGGAATAATAGCTATGAGCCAATTATACTGTGTGGACTGACACAAGTGTGCTGCAAGGAGGCTTTGCTTAAATTGGCTGTATTCTGTTTATTTTTAAACATTTAATATCCTGCTTTAGTTTCTTCTGTCTGATTTTGTATACTCTATCCTTGCTGCTTGTTTGTTTCTTTGTATTTTAGCACAATCAGTCTTTCCTACGCTGCCCTCTTTTCACATTTTTAAATTCTTTTATTCTTCTTCTCATTTTTTACCTTTTTTCGCCTTGAACATAAAAGATTGCTGACCATTGTCTTTAAGTTTACCCAGCTCTCTAACATTAGTATAAAGAAGAGAATTTATCTGCCTTCAGTCTATTACTGACCAGTTCTTTTTCCTCTGCTTGTTCTCTTAACTCTTTCATCTTCTGAATTCTGCTGTGACAGCTGAAATCTGTCACTGTGTAGTCTTCAAACAGTTACGGGCGGGTATGTCAGCAACTTGATCCATAAGGATTCCAACTGTCACCTCTACCCAATTCCTTAACGAGTTGCCTATTTTCCACAGCTCTTCACATTGAATGCAGAATCTCCAGATAGCAGCAAAAAACATTGTAACATACAATTAAAAAAATCTCTTTCACCACTCCAGCAGTGTTATTCCCATCCCTTATTCAAATCTGTTCCCTGGCTTCCCTCCTAGTTCCCCATCCTATTCCTCATTCATTGTGCATACTTCTGTGTCTGCAGCCATTTTATTTCCTCTCCTATTTCATGTTTTTTCTTTAAAGGTAGGTGGCAGAAATTCAAATCTGCAAATGTGACAAATAGGGTTCAGCCTTTATCTTTCCTTCTCTTTCTCTCCCCCCCTCTTTTTTTTTTGGTGTGTATGCAATCATTTTCTTGAGCTGCACCCTATGAGCTCTTCCTTACCTAATCAAACTCCTCCTGAAGTCTTAACCGCCGTACCTGCATGGGGCTATGTGTTTGATCTCTGACAAGTGCAACGCAAGTTGAACTGGATTTAAAATTTGTCTGAGCAGTGGCCTTGTCTACTATTATATATGACTGGTTACTACCAAAGCACATTCTAAATTACTTCACCGCTCTTCCTGTTTAATTGTGTAAAAAATTGGACATTTCTTGTTTTTACATTTCAGGCTACTGGGAAGGGGCTCAATGTTTGTGTTTTCCCCAGAACAATTTCAAAGACTGCTCAAAATAAATCCAGAATGGAAATCCCACAGACTTCTCGATTTAGGGGCTGGGGATGGAGAAGTCACTAAAGTCATGAGTCCTCACTTTGAAGAAATCTATGCCACTGAATTGTCTGAAACTATGATATGGCAGCTTCAGAAGAAGAAATATAGGTATTGTACTGAGTACTTTCTACATCCTTTATATCGGACATTACAGCAAAGTTATATGTAAAATATGTAATATTTAATGAGTGTTCAGTATTTTCAGTCAATTCCTCTCTTGTTTGGTCATTTTGGAAAAGGTTAACCTGTACAAAAGCAGGAAAAAGACCCCACAGCTGATGTTCCCCTCTTACCAGTGCTTTTGTTACGCAGATGTTCTGTGTTAACTAGTTAAGACAAAGCAGGCAACAACCATCTTGAAGTCTCTCTCCTCATAGCTCTAATCAGGAAGATGAAATTCAGAGGAACAGTCTCAGTGAATAGTTGCAAGAGGAAGACACAGGCAACCTGAATCCTGTAACAGGGACACCTCTATAATCTGTGTCTTACCTAGTCCCACAGTACAGACGACTGTGTAAAGATTCTGTTATGTTTGCTGTGCTTGGTTAGCGACAAAAGTCTCGGCACTTTCAAAACTTTGTTCATGCACTTGTCACAGCTCCTGGAGGTTCTTGTAGGCGACAGATCCAGTCTTGTTGATTAATGGTTAATATTTTAGGCACTGTGTCCCTAGACTTCAACCCAAAGGGTGAATGAGGGTGGATTTCTTGTCTTCACCTGTCTTTAAGTGGAAGCATAACAGCTACTTTGTGATCCAGGTTTGCACACTGGTAAATCAGCGTGCACAGAATGCAGGAAGCTATTAATCATATTTCAGCTTTGTTGTTCCTGGAGAAGTATCTTTAGTTTTATTCTATGACAATATATAGTATTTAATGCCTGGGGTTTTGGTTTTTGTCTCCTTTTTTGCCACATGATTAGAAGGCAACATAAGGGTTCATATGGCTGGATATATAGCCATGCCCATTGTTGATGTACTTATCTTTTCCAAAAGACCGGAAGGATTGTGTCTATCTCTTCTCATGGCCTAGGTGGCTGACCTTACCTGCAGTATCAACACATCCATAGGGAATTTTTGTCCTCTGTGGTTCTGAACTGAGCTTGTGTTTGGTTTAACAGACTGTGTCT